GTCCCTTCACGAATAACATGGTTGTCTGCTTAAGAGGACGTGAATACGTGATTTGGTCCGAGCAGAAAGAACAGGAGCAATAATAAGCCTAAATTGTCCTGGCTAGTTCTATAATTAGAACGTCTGTTTCTGTATGAATTCTAGCAAAATAGGTTCCTGCAAATCCCTGCTGCTGTACTGACGACTGGATCATCATAACAATCATCGTAACGATTGATAACGCTGTACTGATTATGCTTTCAGCTACTTTAGCTTGTTTTATTTGCCACCTTGGAACTAAGAGTTCCAAGACTATGAGTTGCTAACTTAAGGTACACTGTGGCTAGTCTTTAACACCTGACCTTCCTCTCTTCCTGCAAGACTCAGGTCACCTAAAGTGAGAAAAAACAACAGATTACACTTACCATTGATAGCCAAGGGATCCTGGGGAGGCAGAAAGAGAAAAGAAACAGACGATTATGCAAGGCCATTGAAAAGGCGCATACAGCATGGTCAAAGACAGTCTCCCAGTCCCAACATCCTCCCTATACCTGGTAGTTAGAATAGCCAAACCAAAAAAAGCAGACTCCCCACCCAGCCTGGGAGACATCTGAGGACAGCTACCAAAGGCAGCTGAACACCACAAAAGACAGCCTATAAACTAGCAATAAAAAAGCAGCAGCAGCAAAACCTACTGTACCAAGCAGCTCACTCCTCATCTTGCCTGTGCAACGAGCCTTTGTCTGCAAATGAACTGTTTTGGTGGCTGGAGTTCTCTCTTTAACTGTGGTAGGGGTACGTCCAGGGGCCAAGAACTGATTTGCCAGTGCCTTTTCAGTTGATGATGACTAAATGCCAGAAAAGGTAAGAAAAAGTCATGAGCATCGCAATCAGCAGAGTGAGATCACCTGGATGCGTGACTAGCAAGGATTCAGGGAGTACTTCCACAGCTGCTTCCTGCAGAACAGTGACATAAGCGTGGTCAACAGCACTGACCGGATCCAGACTAACTGCAGCATAGACTATCAGCATTTCATAGCTCTCCAGATGTACGTGATGCCACACAAAAGACATGTTAAACCGAACGAAAAATGCCTGCCCCTGTACCTCACATCACAGAAGAAAGGATGACAGAGACATGACATACTCTAGCATATTTTTGAAAAGGAGATGTTCTGAACGTCATACATCGCTTTCTTTTTAAAAAGGACATAAACCCCAATATATTTATTCATGTTTTTACAAATTGTCTGATAAATTATAACCAGAGTTGTTCTGAGAAATAAGATAAAGACATAGAAACAAGACAACACGACAAGCATAAGTGGAGAGCCTTCACGTCTTTTCAAGCAGAACTAATTCAAGCAGATCTTACCAATTTTCAAGCAGAACTAATTTCAAGCAGATCTTACCAATTTTTCAGCTTCTAAAAGTCCCTTTAGGAAGTCCACTTTGCGGGAGTATTCATTCAGCAGTTCCGGGGCAGGCTTGCTGCAAGAATTGAGAGGGAAGGGGGAGGGGGAAAACCTTATGCAAACCAGAAAGCATCAGCATTTTCTATTGCTGAGGGGACTTTCAGAAGAAACACGCTATTCTTCAAAGAAGTATCTTCTAGCAGAAAGAAGCGTGAGCCAGGGAGGCCCTTGCAGCTGCGCCCCGGCAAGCAGGTTCTCAGTGGCGCAGACAGCTCGGGCGCGGAGCCTGGGTCCAGCAGCATGTCCGTGAGGGGCCGTGGGGTACCTGCTCTGCAGGCGCGGTTCTCCCCTCGCCAACACCCCTTTTCCGGCTCTGCCGCTCTCGCAGGGAGGGAGGAGAGCGCGGCAACCGCGAAGGACCCTCGCCCACCCCAAAGGGTTTCGGGGGAGCGTCTCACCTGGACTGCTTCTTCAGCTCGCGCAGCATGTCCTCAAGAGCCGCCACGTACTGAGGAGGAAAAGGCTCTTTGAGCGCCAGCGCTGAGGAAGGACGAGGCGCCAGGCGCAGGCCGCAGCACGGCCCAGGGCTTTCGCCAGCGCCTCAGGGAC